GATCCAATGAACTGACACTTAGTAAAGAAAGTGAAGAATATATGCAAACTATTAGAGAATTCATATATAATTTGCAGTTCAATAAAGCTTTCGATTCGGAAGAGCATAATCAATGTCTGGTGTGTTTTGACAAAAGGGTTTGCAAAATACAGGGCAATGAGTGTCAGTGCAGAGGTTTGATACCCATTGCCACCGAAGATGAGAGTATGAGTGAAGAAGTAATACCCAAACAAGTCTATATCGACACCAAGTATTTGGACAATGAAGTCATTGATAACATTAAAAGACTCGAAGATATGGATTATATAGAGAAGAATACAGACAAATACACGAAATCGTTGTTACAAATATGGGATTAACACTTAAATCAGTTATCCCGTAGTCTTACGCCCATCGACAGCACATCCCATATAAATATAACAGTAATTGTTTTGTTTTTAATTATCGTTACATTATGTTTAAAATCATGTATATTTTGTGATATTTTCCTATGAAATTAATTAACAAATAAAATTAATTCTTAATAATTTGCAATAAATCAAAAGTTTTGGTAAAACATATGAAGCAATGAATTGATGCAATGGATTGTGTAATGTATTACGAAATGTTGGATACCTTATGTTATAGCGATTATTGGGAGCGCTTTCACTCACATAACGATCCCTTCACTCATTCACTCTCACAGTCAGTCTCTTTACTCTCACTTTTCCTCAATGTTATGAATATTACAGTGTTTTGAATGCAGTCTTCGCTTGTATTGTGTAATACAGTGTTATAACTATAATCACAATCACATCATCTCTCTGTCTGTCTTCGGCTATGATTACCACAATTGTTGGCTCATTATTGTTGGGATCCGTTCAGTGATGAGGAGGGTATGGCTGAGTGGAGGCCCCGATGCGATCCGTGCGGTATTGTCTGCATTGTGTCCATATATCTGATCATTATATACACCGACTATGCGTTCATCAATTGGATTGTTTTGCCACTCAATTGCAAGTAAGACAATCACATCCCATGACATGTATATCTTGTTTATTAACCACTCATTGTCTGTCAGTTTGGCGACACTCGGCTTAAGTATATCGGTCTTCCAACTCATACTAATCCTATTGGTTTGGTCGCACCTGAAGGCGGCGGTGTCTGATCCGGGCGTTGTCCCCCACCCGACGCACGGACTCGACATCAGCGCCAAACAGTTGCTGAACAAGAAGGACGACAACGAAGACCACAATTGGTCCGTATGTGTGAGGTATGAGGTTTGCGATTGGTTTGCGAGAGCGCCTGATATCGGCGTTAATTTAATTGTATGTCTGAACACTAATTGTGTGTTTGATTACATGATGGTAACAGATGTCAGATGTATAGACCCCCGCGAGCCCATCACTGCCGCATATGTCAGCGATGTGTCCGCAAAATGGACCACCACTGCCCCTGGTATGACACTTACGCCCACTTTTTTTTATCGTTATCATTGTTTGTTTCGTTTGTAATTGTTTTAATTTTGATAATAATTAATTCATTGAATTTGTGTTGTATTCAATTGAACACACATTGAATTTGGTGTTATAAATGAATTACCATCATGATGGCAATCGCTAAGATTGCGATATTTAGTGTATAAAGTGTATGCGAATGCCATATACCTGTGTCCCTGTCCTACATATTTCCCCCACTAATCTTAAATGAAATCCCAATTCGAGTACTTTATTATTAACACTAATATTTATCCCATTTTTTCATGCCTTTAATGTGCACTTTATTTAGGATTAATAACTGTGTGGGAGAACTAAATCAGAAATACTTCATACTATTCCTTATCTATACAGGTATTGATTCATTGAATCACTTCTTTAGACATTACAAGTGATGTTTTATTTGCACTATTTTTAATTGAATTAATTTTTTTATTGTTTGTTGTGTCCAAACGGGGCATATGTAGGGACGGCGTGCGCTTATGTACTCATTTCAATCCTATTGTCTTTCATTAAATCCAAATTAGATTCTCACCAAAGAATGTAAATATAAATGCATTTCATTTTTCACAATATTATATCGATTGATGAGTGCATTAACTGTTTGCGTATAATATACTATACGTATGTATTAATGTGTTAAATAGGATTCATACGAGTGTATTACTGATTGAGGCGCTGCTGTTCGGTCTGTTTGTTGTGGCGGTGCTCACGGATCAGGTAATCAAATATTTAATTTACCAAAAAGAAAATACAANTTTCATTTAAGATTAGTGGGGGAAATATGTAGGACAGGGACACAGGTATGGCATTCGCATACACTTTATACACTAAATATCGCAATCTTAGCGATTGCCATCATGATGGTAATTCATTTATAACACCAAAGTCAATGTGTGTTCAATTGAATACAACACAAATTAATTGAATAAATTAGTATCAAAATTAAAACAATTACAAACGAAACAAACAATGATAACGATAAAAAAAAGTGGGCGTAAGTGTCATACCAGGGGCAGTGGTGGTCCATTTTGCGGACACATCGCTGACATATGCGGCAGTGATGGGCTCGCGGGGGTCTATACATCTGACATCTGTTACCATCATGTAATCAAACACACAATTAGTGTTCAGACATACAATTAAATTAACGCCGATATCAGGCGCTCTCGCAAACCAATCGCAAACCTCATACCTCACACATACGGACCAATTGTGGTCTTCGTTGTCGTCCTTCTTGTTCAGCAACTGTTTGGCGCTGATGTCGAGTCCGTGCGTCGGGTGGGGGACAACGCCCGGATCAGACACCGCCGCCTTCAGGTGCGACCAAACCAATAGGATTAGTATGAGTTGGAAGACCGATATACTTAAGCCGAGTGTCGCCAAACTGACAGACAATGAGTGGTTAATAAACAAGATATACATGTCATGGGATGTGATTGTCTTACTTGCAATTGAGTGGCAAAACAATCCAATTGATGAACGCATAGTCGGTGTATATAATGATCAGATATATGGACACAATGCAGACAATACCGCACGGATCGCATCGGGGCCTCCACTCAGCCATACCCTCCTCATCACTGAACGGATGCCAACAATAATGAGCCAACAATTGTGGTAATCATAGCCGAAGACAGACAGAGAGATGATGTGATTGTGATTATAGTTATAACACTGTATTACACAATACGAGCGAAGACTGCATTCAAAACACTGTAATAATCATAACATTGAGGAAAAGTGAGAGTAAAGAGACTGACTGTGAGAGTGAATGAGTGAAGGGATCGTTATGTGAGTGGAAAGCGCTCCCAATAATCGCTATAAGGTGTACAACATTTCGTAATACATTACACAATCCATTGCATCAATTCATTGCTTCATATGTTTTACCAAAACTTTTGATTTATTGCAAATTATTCAGAATTAATTTTATTTGTTAATTAATTTCATAGGAAAATATCACAAAATATACATGATTTTAAACATAATGTAACGATAATTAAAAACAAAACAATGATATTTATATGGGATGTGCTGTCGATGGGCGTAAGACTACGGGATAACTGATTTAAGTGTTAATCCCATATTTGTAACAATGATTTCGTGTATTTGTCTGTATTTTTCTCTATATAATCCATATCTTCCAGTCTTTTAATGTTATCAATGACTTCATTGTCCAAATACTTGGTGTCGATATAGACTTCTTTGGGTATTACTTCTTCACTCATACTCTCATCTTCGGTGGCAATGGGTATCAAACCTCTGCACTGACACTCATTGCCCTGTATTTTGCAAACCCTTTTGTCGAAACACACCAGACATTGATTATGCTCTTCCGAATCGAAAGCTTTATTGAACTGCAAATTATATATGAATTCTCTAATAGTTTGCATATATTCTTCACTTTCTTTACTAAGTGTCAGTTCATTGGATCCGACGCCTGAGGCACACGTCCTGTCCCGAGGCTTTCCATCGTTGAGTTTGCCATTCGTGTCGTCAAAACAGTCCCAATAGAAGTCTTGCATAAAAATATCGCCCATTTGTGTCAATAGTGCCAAAGAAAAGCCCGATTTGTCGCCGCTATCCAAGAGTTGTATCCCTCGATAGAAATAGTCATTGAATTGAGTGTCGAATAGCACACCTCACCTACACACATTACCGTCCACTTCCCTGCTCTCCCGGCAGTCGAGACGGTGACTAAATTTACTGTAGTTTGTCAACACAGACTACAGTCTGCACTGGTGTTAGAGTGAGAAACGGGCCTCATTATCAACGACTAGACTCTTGAGATTTTGTATCACTATCTTCGGCAACATATGTCTCAATTGGATTAACTGTTAGTTAATAAACAAAATTAAATTAAATCATAAATCTATTGAAAGAGAACTTACATTCATCTGAGGATATCTACAATCAGTGATAAACAAATGATAATCTGTGGCCACAAACAGTTGGTATGGATTGAGTTTTGACGGCAAAAATTTGTAAAACATTTCCCATTTATATTGATTATCATTATGTTTGGTGTCAATGATCTTAATGCATGAGCCATCAGCTCTTGTATCGCATCCCACTATTTGATTGTTCTGTCCATAGAGGAAGATATTAGGATCACATGGACTCCACTCGACACCAATTTGTGTCTTCGCAGACAATGTCTTATCAAATAATTTCAAATCAAATGCAGTGATCTTCTCACTGGTCTCTAAGTCATACAAATGGATCACATCATCGGTGGTGTAGGAAATCACGAGTTCGTTGTCAATGATATCATTTCGATCGCAACATTCAAACATCTTATCGTGTGGAGTGGATGTGTGTAATGGCAGGTGAAGGGACGAGAGGGCCGTCAGCTCTGCCACTGATTTAAATGACATCAAACAGTTGTGTCTGATGTCAGACGTGACCACAATCTCACTCTTTGCATCCTCGCCATCAACGACTAGACTCTTGAGATTTTGTATCACTATCTTCGGCAACATATGTCTCAATTGGATTAACTGTTAAATAATAAACAAAATTAAATCAAATCATATATCAATTAAAAGAGTACTTACATTCATCTGAGGATATCTACAATCAGTGATAAACAAGTGATAATCTGTGGCCACAAACAGTTGGTATGGATTGAGTTTTGACGGCAAAAACTTGTAAAACATTTCCCATTTATATTGATTATCATTATGTTTGGTGTCAATGATCTTAATGCACGAGCCATCAGCTCTTGTATCGCATCCCACTATTTGATTGTTCTGTCCATAGAGGAAGATATTAGGATCACATGGACTCCACTCGACACCAATTTGTGTCTTCGCAGACAATGTCTTATCAAATGCTTTCAAATCAAATGCAGTGATCTTCTCACTGGTCTCTAAGTCATACAAATGGATCACATCATCGGTGGTGTAGGAAATCACGAGTTCGTTGTCAATGATATCATTTCGATCGCAACATTCAAACATCGACTCTTCATTTGTGGCCACACTATTCACAGACAACGCTTGAAACACATCCAAAGAGAGATCTGATTCGTCATCACTTGAGCCGCGATTGACGTTAAAAAACGTGATTTTATTGCGAGAAATGGTCTGAATTTGATGCAAATCATTGGCCTTCAACTCGAGTATCGGTTTCGCGTAAATGTCGTCAAAGACGAAGAGTTGGGAAGCGTTACGAGGACTGCAACTACGAAATGGTCCGCAATCGACACCATTATCATCGGTATAGCAGTGGTTCTTCGAGTCGCTGTTTGTTCCCAATGGTAGACAACTGATCGCATCCCTCGCGGACCAAAGAAGCAGCTCTTTGTCGTCCAATCGGTGGTGAAGGAGACAATCTTTGGCCACAAAGTGATACTCTTGTCGTCGTTTGTCGACAAAGAATGGCAGCGAAGGAGTTGTGGCGTAAAAGTTGGCGATTGTGTTGACTTTGGCGGCGGTGTTGGCGTCGAAAAGACCGGATCCGTTGTAATCCAAGAGCGACGAGAAGCCGAAACAGTGGTGTCTTTGGTTGAACGAGTAGTTCCGGTCGCAGATGTTGTGGTGGTTTGGCGTTAAGTATG